ACGATTTGAGAGGGTGAAAATCACTTTCACGAATATATTTCTCATAAATGACTGTACCTTAACTAACCAGTTTTGAGAAGCCGTTTTAAAACTTAACTACTACATTACATGTTTATTTTAAACAATTCAAGAGCTGGGCGGACCCTTGGGGTCCTGAATTTTATTGGAACCTGTGTATCTGTCTGCAGGCTGTCAACTGAACTTTATTCAATGTTTTTTTTACCAAAACAACATTTTGAAATATCCTGTCTCCAGAAAATATTTTCATCTAATGAAACAACATAATTAAACTTCATGAACATTTATTAGTATATGATTTAAAACCTTGTCGTTGTTGTTTAACTAAACTTCCCTTGGGCCAGTGGGGATCTGTGATGAGACACAGCAGATTTCTCATAGCTCCATCTGGTATCAACACCATTATTCCTAAATATATACAAGGAGTCAATATGCCAGCAAAATCTATGGGAAAATCTATTTGGTGTCTGAGCATTCCCTGTTTACCTTTAAAATGGTCATTTTCCCTGAACCTCAGTAGATGGAATTTAAAAAGTAACTACTGAGTTTCCTAATCCCTTGCCAGATTTCTAGTAGTGGTTATGTTGGGGCTGTTTGCGAATACGTTTTTAACACCTCAGTTTCAGAGCCATTTGAGCAAGATATCCATTTAGCTGACCCCATTACTGGTCATTCTGCTAAAAAACCTTAAAAACGGATTTTCAAAAAGGATTAAAGTTTTATGGTTATTCCCCTCTGACAATATCAGAATTAAAGTGGTTATAAATAGTAAATCAAGACTAAATGTAAAATCATATTTCTAAATTCATGTAACTTTGGAAAACGTATTTGAGTCCCTTTTGTAGTGTGATACAATAAATGCAAGCATTCATAATTCCTTCATACCTAAAAAGTATTGCTATTGGAAACTTAAAGATCTTAATTATTTCTCCTAAAAGCAGCAATAAATGTTTTAAGAAGAACAAAAGATAACTTCAGAATTCAAGAGAAAAAAAGGAAAAGTAACATTTCTAAGAAGTATGATTTCCATTTTCCTTAAATTCACTAAATGTGAACATTTTAATCTAAGGAGTAGTATAGTATGACAAAGATACTCTATGTGTATATGTTCTAGAACTGCTAATATATTACATTATAACTGTGTTCTCTTTCTACAAATGATTCAGGTTGCTTTGACTATAGTTCTCAAATTATCTGTTAACTTTGTGTTCACAACTTAACCGATGGGCAGAACTATACATATCAAAGTTCTGTAATTGCTTTTATTTTTACTGAGAGTATCAGATCCAAGAAGATGAACATGTTACCTTTAACATCAGAAGAAAACCTGCACTAATATTCATACTACTTGAAAATGTCCCCCAGCCACGCTTGAAGAGATGTATTTGTTTATGCACTCAAGTAATTACAACTTTCCGTATGTAAATATTCTTGTGATATATATATATATATATATATACATATATATATACATATATATAGCCACATTACTCATAGCAAGCTTTGTCCTGCACAATATAGACAAATGGCTCAGTAATATAGATGTTCCTTCCACATAACAAACTAATTCGGTGAAAATAGTCCAGGAATAGAATTTTAAGTTGTAGCTTTGACAGAGAGAGAGAGAGAGAGAGAGAAACCTTTCTCCCAGTGAACCTCTCTTTTTGAATAGTCCACGATAAATAAAATTAGATGGGGGGGGGGGGTTAAGCAACGTGATTTTTTTTTCGAACTCCAAGAGGGACAATCATTTGCTTTTCAAAATTAGGAAATTACTGTTGGTTTTTAATGTTTCTGGGGATGCTAAAGAAGAACTCCTGTAGTTCATTGTGGGAAGGGTCCGGCTGCAGGGAGTTGTAAGGGAGAAGGGGTCAGGATCCTGAGACCCCAAAGAGAGAACGAAGTCAAACTGTCCTTGACCAGGCGCTAAGGAAACACTTTAAAATGAAATCTGTCAGGGAACAGCTGCTCAGGAAACGTGTTAAATAGGCTGGCCCGAGTTGGGTTTGTCCGTAGAGGTGTCGGCTAGGGCTCTAAGATGCGAGTAGTGGGGTGAATCACAAACTCCCCGGGGCAGGAAGCTTAGTAAAGATCCAGGCTCAGCTCTCGCTGCAGGCCGGGAAGCCCCTATAGGGAGCCGCGCGGGTCTGGGACGCAGTAGACGACCCTGACTCTGAGCAAGCTTGTGAACGCAGGTTGCCGGACTGCGTGGGTGGGAGGGTGGGTGAGGAGCGGGGGTGTAGGATTGGGACACAGAGTCAGGATACGGAACTGGGGTGCCCGGCGCCTAACGCTGGTCAAGGAAGCCCGGCTGCAAAGCGGGGCGGAGCAGTTGCGCTGCACCCTGACGCGGTGAGAGGTTGTAGGGTCGGTTGCGGAGTCCGGGTACCCGACTGACTCCAGCAGCCGCGCACTTGTCAGTTTCCTCTTGGCCACGCCCCGGCGGAGTAGGTCCAGCTCCCCAGTGTTTAACTGAATCGTGACACCAACGCAAAATCCACGCCTAATTAAATTAATTAGGGATTCTCGTCAACCCTGGATTAATGGCCAAGAGCACAGGCGGCCGAGGCCATCTGAAAACCCGGACGGCCTGGGACCGGCCTCCTCTTCCCGCCCCCTCCCGTCCCCTTCACTGCCCTCCCACTCCAGCTCCAGCCTGCCTGGACTCCAGCCTCAATCAATCTCAATCTCTCTCTCTTTCTCTCTCTCTCTCTCTCTCTCTCTC